AGTCCATCCCGCAGGGAACTTCTCAATCCCTGGACAAGTATTACAAACAATTTACTGTTAATGATATTATAATTATTATTATTATTATTATTTTATAGAACTGTATCCAAATTTTCTTTTTGGTGCCATGCAGAGAAGCCAGCTTATGTTTGGACTACCAAAACCTTCCTCATTATCTCAACTAATAAGTCTGTGTCTATCCTTCTGTTTTTCACTTCCGCGGACCTTTTCGTGTACTACTCTGATTCTGTAATCTCTAACTTTTTTTTATCTGTCTGACAACATTCGTGTTTTTCCTAATCATCTTCCTTAGCTATAATCTCAAATACGATTTATCATTTTATAGTAAATTTATACCAAAATTGAAAATCGCCAGCATGGTCATAAAGACTCATAATCACAAATGTATTAACAATTATTATGAATCAAGATTCAAGATGCATAATTAATGAACCCTCATCATTCTAGTATGCTGTCGCCTTTCTTGCTTTTGTCCAAACTTTCGTTCCCTTCATCATTGTGGCTGATTCCTTGGATGCTGTTGAGAACAACAGCATTGGCCCGGACTCCACTTGCAAATGTTCGGATGTCCAGAAGAATTCTGCCCGTCAAAAAAGGCCCACACTTGTCGGTGCCGGGTCAACTTGACATCTGTCTATGAAATCGGGGCCATCGCGTAGCATAGACTTCCTTCCACTTAAAACCACCCGTCCATCCGAAGCTAAATTGACGAACTTGTCGACCCTAAAAGTGACCAGTACCGGCCGTTGCACAAATCGATTTCGGATTTGGTACCGGATACCGTCCGTTGAAAAAGATCAATACAGTACCAGTCCCGGGCTCTGTATTATCGAAAAGTATTCTGGGCCTCCCACTGGCACGGACATTTTGCGGGCCGAGATCCGAGATTACTGTTCATCCATTGCTCTACTGGTCTTGGGCCAAACAGCCCAAGGGTGGTACTCATATATGAATATGTATGAACAGTAACTTCGGATGGACTGGTGGTTTAACAGTAACTTCGGATGGACTGGTGGTTTAACAGTAATTTCGGATGAACAGTAACTTCGGATGGACTGGTGGTTTAACAGTAACTTCGGATGGTCAGTAACTTTGGATGGACTGGTAAATTAACAGTGAGGCAAGAAGGGTGATGATCAAGCTATGCTCGACGCCATTGACACTTACTGTATTCTGTGAGGTGTAATGCCTCTCATCAAAGGTGCTCAATTATTTCGCAAAGCCAATGGTTCCGCCTAGCAGGGGCATCAAGGTCGTCGTGTGTTCGAGGCATTGCTAAATGTTACAAGTCCTTGATCAAGGACACATCCTTGATCCCACTCTGCTGCTTGTGTGTCATTTGTAGCCGGGTACTATCCCTCCTTGTAGGCGGATGGCCGCATCAACCACATCGGGTATCCCTCCTTGTAGGCGGATGGCCGCATCAACCACATCGGGGGGAACTTTCCCATAGTATGCAGAACTTCATGGCGCATGCAACACACAACAAGGAACTTCATGGAGCTTGCAACACCGTAATTCCACGTTGTGTGTGACTACATGCGAGCGTGACCCCTACGTCCACTACCATATACACAACTTTTTCAGAGTTTGAAATCACTGAAATGGGTGTCAATTTGTCAATACTGTGAAGTTGTGGAGACTAAGATGACCTGCTGTCAAGTTCTGTTGCTTCTGTAGAATCTGTACATATATGAACTGGAAGCGATGGGACTCGGTTTCTAACACACTTGCATGACGATGAACTTCCTTCGGAGCCAGAAACTGTCATCGACGCCTTGTTTAGGGTTTTGACTCTTTTGAGCTCACAGGGGAATGAACTAATATCCTCCTCATAGACACAAGAACTGGAAATGATTGTCCATTGAGACCTTCTTGGTCTTCACTCCTTGGTTGTTCGTGCTCTCTTTTTTCGGTCGTTGCCACTTCTTGGGCCTTGGGCTTGTATAAAAAGATGGACTGCCTTCAATTTTCTTTTCTTCTTTTTTAAGTACAGGCATCTAGTAGATTGTGCTGGTAGAGTTACATATGAGTATTCTCTCTCAAGGGAGTAACCCCCCCTAACTCTATTGTAATCATCTGATTCCATCAGGATTTGAACTCATGACCTGTTTGTTAACAGTTACATGTGTGTGTGTGATTCAGCCACATGGGCTGGCTCTACATCAGGAGTGCTGTATTCTTGACTTTCATGAAATTTACGGTCATTGTCGTTACGTGTAAGCAACAGAGCTTGAATTAATTTCTCTCTCCTCGTCCTCCCTTTTTTCTGCCTGTCTTCACAGTTTGCATTCTGGCTATGATCAACTACGTGGTTTCTCACCTGTCGTCTCTGAACTGAACTTGCAGGGGAATGAACTATCTTCACAGCCACAAACCGGAAGCGATTGTGCATCGAGACTTGAAACCAAGGTAGATGCTTTCAGCATGGACAAAACCTGAGCAAAAGAGAGTTGAAAAAACTACTAAAAAGTTACTAAAAAGTAACTAAAAAGTAACTAAAAAGTTACTAAAAACTTAGTAAACATAAGTTAATAAAAACTTAACTTAGTAAAACATAAGTTACTAAAAACTTAAGAAAAAAGTTACTAAAAAGTTAAGAACTTAGTAAAAGTGAGTGTACCGATCTCCGATTCTCACTTTTAACTTAGTAAAAAATAAGTTAAAACTTAGTAAAAAGTGAGTGTACCGATCTCCGATTCTCACTGCACGCATGCATTTATGTTCTTCTTACATCGTGCTCAACGTACTCAGCTGATGCCATTCTACCTTCTTCCCCCGAATACAACGTACGGTCATTATCGCTGTATTTTTGGGGTATGTTGCAGTCGAAATACAGCTATAATGAGGGTACGTTGTATTCGGGGGAAGAAGATAGTAGCCTGAAATGATGAAGTTCATAACTTCATATAGCTACAGAGTACCCAGTTCCTGTGTGAAGTACTTTATCACAACCTGACAGGAGTACGAGCTGTTCGTTCCTTTTGGAGTGTGATGTGCTCCGAGGCATTAAAAAAAACAGTCAGAGCGAAGGATGCACCGGTGCGTGTGGAGGCCATATTTTTTGGGTCCCTGCGGAGGCCATGCGTTTTGGGTCCTCGTCCACCTGCACATGGTCCCATATGTTAATAATACTACCGTCTTCCCCCGAACATAACGCACCCTGAAATTGAACGTATGCAAGCTATATTTCCGGTCCGGTACATCCAAGATGAGGGTGCGTTGTGTTCAGGGGAAGACGGTAGTACCTGTGGAGGCCATCAGACCCCCTCCTGCGAAGTGGTGATTCAAGTTTGCTGAGAGTCGTAAGGTATCGTGGAGAGGGGAAAAAACAAATTGGGTATGCTGGAGAGAGGAAGTGGAGGATAGATAAGGGTTGATGTCTCCTGGAGACGAATACCTGGGAGATGCCTCTCTCCTATTGTGGCTCTGTTTTTACGTTGAAGCAGTACGAGCCAACCTGGGGCCTGGTCCTTGAACACCTTCGCTCCCCCCGACCATTTTCCCCTGCTAGAACACCTCATGTGGGAATTGTGCCTCCAAAAACGAGAAGAACATTTCCACTTGCTGGCACATGCCCTGTTTTTTCTTTTTCTCTTCTCTTTTTTTTTCTTTTTTTTCTTGAAAGACACCTGAGGCAGCATCAGAGAGAAAGCCCTACTGGGTGCGGTAAAAAGACGGGGTGGAGTTCCAGAGGCAAAGGCCAGAGGGCGAGTGGCTTGCTGATGACGGTGGTCTGGCGATTCAAGGAGGGTGGAGCGGTGGATGCTGAGGGGCTAGGGTAAATCGGGAGTCAAGAGCAGCTCCCTTCAAGGACTTTGGCTGTCAATCCTTTCCTTACGAGAAAGCAATCAATAGGGGTGAACATCAGTCCGGTTCATCACCGCCAGCAGGTACAGTGCTGTTGATGGTTTTTACGGTTTATTACCTTGTGCTGTCTTACTTCTGGTGGAGGTGAACCAGACTGATGTTCCCCAAATGGAATTGACTCAATGGAGCGATAACCGTGAGCCCATGCTTTCAGGACGAAAGGGGGGCGGGGAGTGTAAGCCTTGTGGCTCTGGCTCTTGTCAGCCCCTGAGTGAAAGTGCTGTGGTGTTCAATTTCTGGGCAATGGCAGGGGATTGAGTTCAATGGAGCTGTGCCTTATCTGTATTTTTTTGAAGGGGGAAGCCCCTAACATTATTGTTCCATCAGGATTCAAACCCATGCCATTGCATGTGTGTACCATTCAGTCGCATGGCCCGGGTTGGACCTGTGTAGGGATGGCCTGGAGGAAAAGGAATGGCTGGAGAGGTGTGTGCACCCCTTCCCCTTGCTGTCTTCCTCCTTTGAGGGTGGTTTGGCAGCAGGGCGGAGTGTCCCCCACACCTCTATGCACCCCCACCTCTCTCTCTCTCTCTCTCTCTCTCTCTCTCTCTCTCTCTCTCTCTCTC